ATCCGCAGCGTGTGTCCCGCCAGACTGCCGACTTGGTAGGCCACGCTGGCCAGTGCCTGGGTGGTAAAGGCCATGGTCTCCTCCAGCGCTTTCCGCTTGTCTGTGGCCTGAAATACACACAGCTCTGGTGGGAGGCCAGCCTGGCTCACTAGATCGCAGGCTGGGTGGGTAGGATGGGAGAGGGAGAGCGTGGGGGGTGAACTGGGAGAAAGCGCTAACTCCAGATGTTTGATGTGGTTTCCCTGAGAGGGACCTGGGAACATTAGGAGAGCAAATCTGTTACCCTGAGGAATGGGGGTGCCAGGGGAGGGAAAGATCTCCCTGCTCCAAGACTCAAGCTGCAGATTGACCCCACTACCTCCAGGGGACCTTTGGAAATAAAGGGTGAATAGTAGAAAGGAAAGAGAAGAGCGTACTTTCAAACTTAAAAATAAACCAATCGATGGCAGCCCCCCCTATCCGAGACCCTCTAACCAGAATCCCCTGGGGAGTGAGGTTGATGAATCTATGCCTTTAAAAGCCCCCCAGGGGACTCTTGTGCTCCTGTCTTTCTCCAGTCTGCAGAGCAGTGTTTAGGAAACAATGGTCTAGTCCATTTTACCAGATTAGGAAATTGAGGCCCAGAGAAGAGTGACTTGATTCATTCCTTCCAGTAGCTTCCCAATACGCTGAGAATATAATCCAGACTTCAGCCATGACCTATATAGGGCCCCACAGGGCTGGCTCTCCTCTACCACTCCCTCTCATTCCCCTCCAGGCACAGTGGCCATTAGATTCCTGTTGTCGGATCAAGCTAAGATTGTTTCTACCTCAGGACCTTTGCACTTGCTGTACTTCTTTCTAGAAACCTTATTATTAAGTCTCAGCTCCTCAGAGACACATTTCATCACCACCCTAAGATTCTCCTAGCCTACTTCTGTATTGACTCTCTACCATGTTTACCCTGTTCTCTTGTCCTCATAGAACTTAGCACTACCTATCGGAAATTATCTATTTACTTCATTATCTATTTCTCCCCACAGACTAACGTGTAAGCACTGGGAGGGCAGAGAACCTATCTTATTCTGTATCTACCCTGGAAGAGTGCCCAAAACACAGACAATATTTAATAAATATGCATTTGTGAGTTAATTAATGAATTGAATATGAACCCACACACTTGCTGGGCATCTCCCTACTGTACACCAGGCACTGTGCCAGATGCTGGCCAGAGTCACACTGGCAGTCAGCGGTGGGAGGGTGGGCAGGGAATGGCTGAAGACAGAAGAAGTTTTTTTTTTGTTTTTTTGGTTTTTGTTTTTTCAGTTCCAGATAAAACCATGGGGCTAGAGCAAAGCTCCTCTGGTCATTTGGTTCCCCAGGCAGCTTCCTCATCTCAAGTTGGATCATGGAGGTGCTGCCATTTAGCCTGTAGCCTTCTCTGGGGGTATAGGGGTGAGTCCAGGGCAAGTCTGGGCCAGGCCCACACATAGACAGTCAGGGCTGCACCACATGGTCTCCTTGTGAAAGGCCCCTAGGTTCTCCCCAAAGCCTATCCTACAGAGAGCAGACCTGGAACCTCTCAGGGCAGGGTGCCTCCAAAGGAGCCTGAGCCAGGCTGGAGTCAAAGGGCAGACCCAGAACCTTCTGGGCAGCCCTTCCTTGCCTTTCTGCTCCAACAGCTGGATGCTCATTTGCATGCGATTTACATCTCATCCGCATATGTAACCAAGAGCCTTGAAAAGGCAAAGAAATCAACCCAGGATGTTTAAACCAGAAAGGAGAGGCAGGTCTTGTTCTAGCTCAAGATATTTCTTTAGTAGGCAAGGACACGAAGGCCCAGAACAGGCTAGTGACCACTCACTCCTCCTTTGGTCTGCACCCAGATTTCCCAGCTCACCTCACCATCACTGTCCCCTGTTTGGCCTGCCATGTGGAGCTGTCAGCCCAGACAGGAGAATGTCTGCATGTCTGCTTGGGCCCAGCCAGGGGAGGCTGGAGCCGGGTGGGTACCTACTGGCCCCTGGTTTGGGGCTTGGCCCCGAGTTAGGTTGGGAGGTACAAAGGTGTGAGATCCATTGTCATGGCTCACTGCTTATTTGCCATGCAAATTACCTTGTCTGTAAACTCAATGGACTCTGACTGTGAACTCTGCTGTCGACCCCAGCCTGCCCTCCCCCCATTCCCCATAGGTTTCCTGACACCTGGTTGGGGTGGAAGGAGGGGGTGAGGGAGAGGCGGAGGGCGTGGGAACCAGGCCTTGTTTAAGGATGGTGCTGAGAAGTCATCCAAACCCTTTGTAGGCATTTGCTCCCCAGAGGGAGATCCTCAGAGAGGCCGGGAAAGGTAACTAAGGTCAATTAGTTAGTTTTCCACATGAAGGAAGCAGGAGCCCAGGGAATCTGACCTGCGTGTTTTTGCAAGGGCCGCCTCGCCTCGCTAGAATTGACTTTCATTATCTCTATGTGCCTTTCATCCTTCCGACAGAAGATGATGGTGATGATGATGATGGCAGTAACGGTAATAGTTTCCATGCATCCCGCCCCTCCTAAGGGACAGGCACTGGGTTAAGTGCTTTAACACCTTCTCGAGTTTAACCCACATGACCCCCCTGAGAAGGTGTAAGCATCAGAGGTGAGGTAACCCTCCTTGCCGTGGGTCCTGTAGTTGCTAGGAGGCCAAGTTGGCAACCGGACTCAGGTCTTTGGGACCCCAAATCCTGCGTGCACAGAACCGCTTCTCTCTTTGTCCGTAGAAGAAGCCTGCTTTGCAGCGCCCAGAGAACCCGTCAGGCTTACAAGCCAGGTCCATCTCATCCACAAGCGGGTTACTCAACATCTACACGAACAGCAGTTATTCAACTAGAGGTTTGGGGATGGGCTCCAGAGTCAGAGTTCTGGGTTCGAATCCCAATTCCGCCACCAGCTCAGAGACGTTGGGAAAGGGAGTGGGTCTGGGTGAACTTCAGCTCCCTGGCTGTGGAGTGGGAGTGGTTCTCCCCTCTCAGGACTTGGGGGAACACTACAAGAGGCCATCTGGGCAACATACCTGCCCAAAGGAAGGGGGCAGAACATTCTCACTGGTATCATCACTGACTCTCTTTCATCTGTCATTTTCCCAGAAGCACTTGCTACTTTCATTATTTTTTTCAATGCTCTTACTGAGCCAGGAGGTCCCTGGGCATGCCAGTGCAAAGAAACTGTCCTTAAGTCCTAGGGCATGTCAGGGAAGGGGAAAGGTGGAGAGGAGAGAGCCTAGCTTCAGAAGTCAGCAGGCTGGGGTGCCTGGGTGGCTCAGTGGGTTAAGACTCTGCCTTAGGCTCAGGTCATGATCTCAGGGTCCTGGGATCAAGCCCTGTATTGGGCTCTCTGCTCAGCAGAGGGCCTGCTTCCCCCTACCTCTCTGCCTACTTGTGATCTCTCTAAATAAATAAATAAATAAATAAATAAATCTTACAAAAAGAAAAAAAAAAAACCAGAAGGGCTGACTTAGCCAGCATTTTAAAAAAAAGAAGAAGTCAGCAGCAGCTCTGCCAAGGCTAGGCCGTGTGACCTTGGACGAGTCATCTGGCCTCCCCTCACTGTGGGTTCTTCCTCTACGAACGAGGAATAATAATACTTGTCCTCATAAGGCGCTTATGAGGATTAATGAAAAAACAGAGGTGCTCAATCATTGCTAAGTTTCCCTTTCCCCTCTTTCCTTGTTCCAGAAATCGTGTTCAAGGTCCTAGAACAACTATACAACTTAGGAGACTGTTCTGGGTGCCTGGGTGGCTCGTTCGGTTGAGCATCTGCCTTCAGCCCGTGTCACAATCCCAATCCCAGGCTCCCCAATCCCAGGTTCTGGATGGAGTCCGCATGGGGCTCCCTGCTCAGCGGGGAGTCTGCTTCTCCCTCTCCCCCGCCCCTCCGTCCCGTTTGCGCTCACTTGCACTCTCTCTCCCTCAAACAAATAAAACCTTTAAAAAAAAAAATTAGAAGACGGTTCTAAAACGCCATGGTTGCCATCTTTTGCTGGTGGACTGCTCTCAGCAATCATGTAGTCCATCCCCCTGCCTCTGTGCCAGACCCAGCCTCGTCTGATGTCTCCCCACTGTCGCGCAAAGGTCAGGGAAACAATTCTCTCCCTGGTCCCTCTCCAGTTTGTGACATTGTTTGGGAGGTCAGCCTGCAAATGGAATGATGAGGCCAGCATTTGTGTAAGACAAATCAGGGGCCTCTGCACCCGAGCGGGACCCAGGAAGGAGATGTAGGTGGTGTGAGGCCCGCTAACAGGATGGAACAGCGCTGCGTGCCTGGGTGTCTCTGAGGCTCTGGGAGAGGGAAGGGGCATGATGGGGCTGGGTAGCATGGGGTTGAGGCCGAAGTCTGGAGGGACCGGAATGAAGCCAAGTCCTGGGGTGAAGGATTTCCCAGGTGGGCCCAGAATGAGCACCTGTCAGGATGGCTCCCACGGTCTTGCCTGGGAGGTGGGCTCCCAGGGGCCAGGGTGTCATGGCGGGGGCCGCTTGGCCTACCTGCACATAGTTGTCCACGCAGTAGTCTGCGACCCGCAGCAGGGAGCTGTGGTTGCCCCGCAGGGCCTCCCGGCCCGTGGGGATCTCGAACTCCTGTAGCTGCTGCAGCTCCGCCATGGCCCCCTGCCTCTGGCTGCCTCCCCAGGGATCCCGCCGGTTTTGTGCCTCACCCTGCTCTTGATTGGTCGCTTGGCCTCCCCCCACCCCACCCCACTGCTTTTGGTTTCCTCTCCGTGAGAGACCCAAACCTGCTTGCAAAGGGCAGGCAGGCTCATTCCGGGACAAGAGGAAGTCAGTCTCCGCTCCCTGGGCCCGTGCCTCTCTGCCCCCTGCCCAGAGGAAGGGGGAAGCCAGGGGCCCCTCTGGGGGCCCGGCCCCCCAATCCCTTCCCAGCAGAGGAAGTCAAGGTCGGGGCGCTGTGATTTCTCCCTGGGACTGGAGAGGAAACTGTTTGGTGGGGCGGGGGCCGGGGTTGGGGGGCAGGGGATGGGTTGGGAGACTGAGGAGGAAGGGGGCTGGCCTGCTTGGGATGGGAGGGGGAGGTGGATTTTCCACTCATGGAAGGGGAGGAAAGGGCAGAGGGTGGGGGCTTCCTTGGGAAGCTCAGGGATGAGTCACCCAGGGCCCGGGGAGTGGAGGGTGGATAGGATATGGAGACCAGGGGCGCTGGGGACTGGAGGGTGGCCCAGCAACAATGGAAACCAGCCAATGCAGCCGCAAGAGGAATCGGCTCAGACACCAGGAAGACACATCCAGAGGTCCCCTGAGAAGTGTTAGCAAACCCGAGGGGCTGTGCGTGGAGAAGCCCCGGTGCGCATGCTCTGTCCTGATGGAGGTAAGCCCAGCCAGAGCGTGGGGGTTTCGGATTAGACAACAGGAAGGAATTGGCTTTGAGAAGCACCAGGTTCAAGTTCCAGGTTAACTGGCCGGTCTTAGGAAACAGCGGCGGACAGAGCACCAAGCTGGCCTCTAGAGGTCTGAGCTCTCCTATCCTGCCTTTACAGGACAGCTGGACTAGGACCCTCCAGGCTCTTCAATTCTTAGCGCTTCCAGTTGTGAGTGGGACTTGGACCCTGGAGCAGGGGAGTCAGGGTGGGCTCTAGGCCTCCTCCCAGCCTCTTCCAGAGCCCCTCCTGTGAACCTAGAGACAGGACAAAAAGAGGATCCCTTACCAACCGTATTGATCTCTTAGGCATCTGCTTCTCGGGAGGGTCCCCTTGCCATGGGGCAGCTGTCAGCCTGAGCAGGAACTCAGTGTCTATTAAACAGCAGAGCCCATGGGTGGGGCTGGAAGGAGACGGAGAGAGATATGAGGATACGGGCCCTGTGTTAGGTGATTGGTGAGGGCAAGGCTCATACGGAGGCGTTGACGCCAAGAAGCATGGACACAGCCATTGGAGGTGGCCATGGCCCCAAGGGTTGACAGGCCCAGCATCCTATCGAGGACTCCATTTTTATTGAATAAAGATTGAACCAGGAGAAGCTTGGAAGGTGTAATCACGGGGTTCCAGTGGGAGACACCAAGGCTTCTTGGGTGAGGGAAGTTAGGAGCTGGTCTAGGACTTGCTTCACGGAGAACGGTCTCAGCGCAGGCTCAGAGGTAGCAGAGGGGAGGGCTTGCGAGACAAGGCACGGGGAGGAGAGCGTGTCAGGTTGAGGGTGAGAACTGGCTAGAAGCCAGAGGGGTCTTGAAAGGAGCGAGCCAGCTGTAGGGGGCAGGGTGTCTGCTCCAGTGGCAGTGGGGACTTGGAGGCTCAAGCCAGCGGATGGGCTTAGAACCTTGAGCCCATGATCAGCTTAGGCATCAGAGATTTTGGCTTTTAAACCATCTGCTTTATCTGAAGACTTTCAGAAGCTGAGGAGCTGGGAAGCTCAGACATCATCTTGCCTGAGTCGGGGACCAGAGACTTGAAGTGCAAACTCTTTCTTGGCAGGTGAGAGGGGCTGAGGTTGCACTGGGTTGGGATTTAGTCTCAGAATTACTAAAATCGGGCAGCCGGCAGGCCTTCCTGATAACCTTGTCCTCATGATGATGATATCAGTAACTGTAACAATAAAAATATTATTATTATTCATTATGTGCCATACAGAAAGTTAAAGTATTTTATATGCATTATTTTCTTAGGATTCACAAAAATCACACAAAGTAGGTACTGTTATTATACCCATTTTACAGACAGAGACACTAAGACTCAAGGAGGCTAAGTGACTTGCCTAAGCCTCACAGCTTAGAAGGGGCCAGAACCAGGATCAGAAGTGGAATCTGACAGCTCCAGAGCCTTTCTCTTAACCACTAGGGTACACTCTCCCTTGACAGGATCTGCTGTTTCCTGAAAACTTCTACCTGTGCCATTATGTGGAACAATAACCTGGCTTCCCGAATCTTATTCACTGAAAAAGACTTTTCTCTTTCTTCTCCACATTGATTCCTGTTTCATCCCTAGACAGAGACTACTCCGAGGGCAGAGTCTGTGCCTCCCCCATCAGACTGGGGGCATCCTCTCCTCCAGAGCCAGGTCTCATGGTGGTGTGAAGTGAGGGGCTGCGCAGGGAAGTGGGTGGAAGCTGAAGTGTGGAGCGTGTGGGAGGGAGCCCAGGGGAGCCCAGGGCATTTGCCATCCCAGCTGTGGGATCCTTTCCAGAAGCAGGTCTCTCTGGAGCAGGATGGCCCAGGAGCTCAGCGAGAAGGAGCTCCTGAAGATGGAGGTAGAACAGCTGAGGAAGGAAGTCAAGAACCCAAGGAGCCTGGTGAGCCCCCTCTTCCCTTCCCTGCCTCTGTTCTCCATCACATCTGGGTCCTCACAGAGTTAGGGCCCCAAGGGAGAGGGAGGCCGCTGGAGAGAGCAGCACAAGTGGCAGGAGAGGGAGGTTTGCCTCTGGGCCAGGGGAGGCCGCAGAGGGAGGCTGGGGTTAAGCCCCACAGGGGTGCCAGGAGCGAGCCCCACAGCGTGCCCAGCCCAGCGCCCCTCGGAGGTGAGACCTCACCCCCCACCCACCACCTGCCTCTCTCTCTCCTCTCCAGCCTCCGTCCCCACCCAGTCCAGGACCTGTTTTCTTGCACCGAGCAAATCGTGGATGACCACAGATGAACTAGGGCTGGAACCTTTGTTTTCTCACAGATTTCCAAGACGGGAAAGGAAATCAAGGATTACGTGGAGGCTGAAGCAGGAAACGACCCTCTCCTCAAAGGCATCCCTGAGGACAAGAATCCCTTCAAGGAGAAAGGTGGCTGCACCCTAAGCTGAGGGCCCTGGAGGCCGCCCCACCCTGACCGTCTGTTCCTGCTCAACCCCGCTCTTCCCCAGAAACCCAGGGCCCCAGGGGTGGGGGGACACTCTCCACCCTCTCTCGGCCACAGCAGGAGGAGACCCCCAGCCCATGCACTAGGGAGCCTTGCCCCACTCCTGCCCTCAGCTCTCCACCCCCACACCTGGGTCACTGCGGGCTCCCCTTGGAGGCTCTCGAGGACAGCTCCTCTGGCTCAGCAGTCGTGGCACATTCCATGGTGGGGTCCAAAGAGCCCGCCACGCGCTGGGATCCCAGACAGCATCCTTAGAGACGTTGACCCCTCGCTACAGCCCTCCCGTCTTTCCCTCCACTCTCTTCCTAGGAACCAGCATTCCTATTCATAGTCGTTTGGTGGAGGGCCAGAGTGGGGAGGCCCTTCTTCCCCATCTTATGTCTGACCCTGTGGTCCTCCTCCTAGTCACTTAGATTGCCCCAGAGGGCCTGAGGACAAAAAGAGTTTGTGACGTCATGAGGTCACGCTCTATTTAATGTTGTGGGGTGTCTGTTCCGTGCTGGGCACTGGGGAGGGCAGAGTAGCAGCGCTGACACAGTGGGAACAGAGTTGGCAGTGAGGTCAGTAAGAGCTTCTGTGCAGAAAGGACCATCAGCGGCCTGGGCCACATGGCAGACAGACACCCAGGGCCATGGGCAAGGTCCAAGGGAACTGTTGCAGGCCAGTGGGCCGTGGGGAGGAACGGGGCACACAGAGGCCCAAGAGGGAGATGCGCGAAGCCTTAAAGGACCCCCGTGAACTCAGTTAAGAACTGTGTTCTCCATCTGCCCGTGAAGCAGCCAAGGGACAGGATTTGATGAGCAGGAGGGAGGCTGGCTCCTGGCTAAGGAGGACACGGATTCCTGGGCCTTGTCAGCAAGGAGATTATAGTCTTATGGAACCACAGAAGTGATGAGGGCGCAGAAGGCAAGGGCAAGCTGAGAACAGGGCATAAGCTGACACCCCGTAACCCCGCACCCCCCTCCCCCAGGTGGGATCTGTGTGACATTCCCGCTGACCTAAAGCAAAGAAAAGGAAAAACAAATAGTTAACCTTCTTAGAGATCACAGCCCTGCAAGATAGGAGTCTCCCTTGGTTTACAAATATCTTAGCGATTTACCAGGGGTATAAAAAAAAAAAAAAAAAAAAAAAAAAGCATTCTTACCAAAAACCTAACTTCCAGAAGGAAACTCCAACTGTCTTACTGTCAATGCTTTCCTAGAGGGAAAAACAACATTTACCTGACAATGGCAAGGCCTCCCATATCTTGTAGGTCCTCTCTAGCACACAAAAATTCTTTTGAAAACCTTGTTTTTTCCTTACCCCCAGCTCCCAAGTCCCGCCACCCCTCACAACCCTGGGCCAGCAGCTCTTTCTGCCCACGGGCCCTGTCCCCGTGCTTTAATAAAACCACCATTTTGCACCAAAGACGTCTCAAGAGTTCTTTCTTGGTCGTTGGCTCCGGACCTCAGCCCACCAAACCTCACCTACATTCAAAAACCGAGTCAGAAGGACTCTCATGATACAATGCTTTCAGGGCAAAGACTTGTGGGGGAGAGGAGAGCGACCAACCAGATGGGTGAGTTGCATCCTGGGAGGGAGAACCAGTAAAAGCCTCTAGAAGGAGGTGATATCCAGAGCCAAATCCTAAACACTGAAGTTGTAAATGGATGGATGTGTGGCAAATCGGGTTGAAGTGGTCATATCAACAGAGGTATAGATAGGAGAAGGGGAAGATGTAGGAACCAGGGTTTGAATACAAACACCAACCAGGTTAGAGTGGACTGTCCAGGGAGAGACCTAGATCTTTGGAGGGCCAGATCTAGATCCTTGGTAGAGAAGGTGGGGCTGGAGATAAGCACAGGCGTCTTCTGTCATCCCCCTTCATCTGCTGGGAGTCAGTTGGCAATGTTTGCATTCTAGAAGGAAACTGGCTTTTGAGGAGATTGAAAGGAGAAAGAATGGAGGCAGAGAGAGACAATTAAGGAGATGATCATTAGCTTGGGGGAGGCTGTCTTAAGTCTGGATCAGGAGGTGGGGTGAGGAGTTCTTTGGGAAATGAAGTTTTCAGATGTTGACATCTCACTGAGTGATGGCTGAGGGAGAGGGGAGTTGTCAGGGATGATGAGCTTCTGGCTTGGGAGATGACTAGATAGATGGCAAGTGTGTGAAACTAAACATAATACAGTGAACCCCCCCTAGATTGGCAAACTCGCCCAGCTCAGCAGGCCCCAGCCCGAGGGCATGCCCTGGGCCTGCTGGGGAGGTCATGGGCCACTGGTCAGAATCCAGGCTCTCCGGGGAAGTGTCCGCTCCTTTCCCAACTCCCTCCCAAAAATTCCATCCTGACCCTCAACTCACCTTTCTGCAACCTCAAATAGGTTCAGCCAATCTCAATATACTTGAGAGGGAAAAGAAGAGGAATGAGAAAGAGAAGATTTAAATACAGTAATTCTTTTTTTTTTTTTTTTTTTTTTTTTTAAGATGGAAGGGTGGGGCACCTGGGTGGCTCAGTCGCTTAAGTTTCTGCTTTCAGTTCAGGTCCTGATCTCAGGGTCTTGGAATCAAGCCCTCTTCCGGCTCCCTGCTCAGCGCGGGGAGTCTGTCTCTCCCTCCCGCCTGCTGCTTCTCCCCCTGCTTGTGCGCTCTCTCTTTCAAATAAATAAATAAAATCTTTGAAAAATAAAATAGTAAACATTCCATATGGCTCTAGCTGTAAGAAAGGAAAACCAGGGGACGCCTGGGTGGCTCAGTGGGTTAAGCGTCTGCCTTAGTGGCTCAGGTCAAGATCCCAGGATCCTGGGATCTAGTCCTGCATGGGGCTCCTTACCCAGCCAGGAACTGCCACTGCCGCTTCCCCTGCTTGTCCTTGTGCACACTCTCTCTCTCTCTCTCTCACTCTCACAAATAAATAAAAATCTTTAAAAAAAAAAAAAAAAAGGAAAAGCAGGTGTGGGCTACAGGCCACAAGGCTACCGCTTCCTTTCTCCTCCCACCCACCAGTTCTTGTTCTGCTCCCTCCAGGTGGTATCGCGCTGGTGGGACCCCTTGACCCTGTGGGGACACCATTATTCCTGAGGGGTCTGAACCCTGGATGGGGCTCTGCTTACAGGAACAGCTTCTGCTTGCCTTTTCTCAGTGCACGGCACCCAGAGATGCTCTGGGCGTTCTGTTGGCTCCTCCCATACCCTTTCCGTCCACCCCAAGGTGGGTAACAGTCGCAGGACCCCTAAGCCTCAAAGTCAGTCATCAGCCCAACACCCTGAACCCCTCTTCTGTTTTGCTCGTGCCCGAAGGAGCCTCAAATGGCTGAAGGCAACCTGAGCTTCTACCCCAAAGGAATTATCATGGCCCCAGGGGCCACATTCCCTCCCTGGGTGCCCAGCCAGTTCAGCGGCCCCAGTGATGACGCTGAGAGCAGGTCCCAGGTGTCATCTAAGCCACCCGGCCCCACCCCTGTCCCAGAGATCCGGGGGGGTTCATACCTGACAAAGAGAAGCTCCATGTGTTGTTCGTTTCGCTATGGAGCACGGAGCATGCAGCAGCTTCACTTGGACAATAGCCCCTCATCTTTGCAAAGTGTTTCCTAGTCGGCACCCCACTGGGGCTTGGCCTGGCCAGTCCTTTGTCAGCGGCTCCCAGATGATGGACTTATGGTGAGGTCCGCAAATCCCATCAGCACTGACCCCTTGCCTTAGATTTACAGAGAAGTTGCAAAGCTAGGACAGGGGGTTCCCGTATCCCCCTCACCCAGCTTCCCCCAACGTTAATGTTTCATAAAACCACATCCTTGTAGTAAGGCGAGGAAATTAACATTGGGCTGATACCAGGAACTCAAGTCCAGACTGCAACTTGGATTTCCCTCATGTTTTCACTAGGCATCACTGTTCTGTTCTAGGACCCACATTCCACTTAGTGTCTTACTTATTTTTCAGAGAAGGGCTTCTTTTTTAAAAAAAGATTTTGTTTGGGCGCCTGGGTGGATCAGTCAGTTAAGCATCTGCCTTCAGCTCAGGTCATGATCCTGCGGTCCTGGGATCGAGTCCCTCATCGAGCTCCCTGCTCAGCCGGGAGCCTGCTTCTCCCTCTCCTTCTGCCTGCCGCTCCCCTTGCTTGTGTCTCTGTCTCTGTCAAATAAATAAATTAAATTGAAAAAATAATAAATACATAAAGTCTTAAAAATTTTAAAAAATAAAAAAATAACAAGAGAGAGAACAAGAAGGGGGAGGGGCAGAGAGACAAGCTGAGTGGGGATTCCCGCACTCAGAGGGGAGCCCCATGTTCAGCAGGGACCACCACACTGGGCCCAGTCCCAAGACCCTGAGATCGTGACCCATGACCTGAGCCAAAGTAAGACACTCAACTGACTGAGCCACCCAGGTGTCCCCAGGGAAGGGCTTCTATGTGGAGTTAGTACGTCTAGGACACCATGGCCACCTAGAAGACATTTCATGAGTCCATAGACAGTAGCACTGACAGAAACATGACAAGGAATACAAATCTGATTCCTGAGTAAGTCCCTACTCCAGTGACTCTGTCCCCTCTATTGACCTGCCACCAGAGAACTGGCTGGTTGTCCTTGAGGTCTGGATTGCATGAGGGGCTCAGGGTTGTCACCATCACTGGCTCACAGACAGACCTGTCAAGAAAGCCTTGACTGTTCCTCTTGTGCAGAACCTCTGTTTCTGCCTCTCTGTTGCTTTTTCATGACTGCCAGTCAGCCCAGGGGTCACCTTGTCCAGGTCTTATCAAGAACTTTTGCTGGGGCGCCTGAGTGGCTCAGTGGGTTAAAGCCTCTGCCTTCAGCTCGGGTCATGATCCCAGAGTCCTGGGATTGAGCCCCACATGGGGCTTTCTGCTCGGCAGGGACCCTGCTTCCCCCTCTCTCTCTGCCTACTTGTGATTTCTGTCTGTCAAATAAATAAATAAAATCGTTAAGAAAAAAAAAAAAAAAAAGAACTACTTCTTCCGGGGGCAGCCTTCTGGTAAACCTGTTCATGACACTTGAATATTTTCAGTCTCTGAACTCACCCTAAGGGGACCAGCCACATAGCTCTCCCCAGATGTCCTTGTCTCTTCCAGTCCTTCGGTTGGCCTCTAAGACCTTGACCATCTGACCAGAAGCTGAATTGCTTTCCAGGATCAGAGAGGAAGGAATTCCCTTCCCTGCTGACTTTTAGGTCACCCCGAGAAGGGCAGTTCCCAGAGAAAGGGGGATCACCGGGATGCAGACATTCAGACACGATCAGGGGAAGTGGAGTCAGGATGGAGAGGAGGTGATGAGTTGGAGAGATAATTAAGAGGTAACATTTTCAGGGCTTAGAGATTGCTTGAATGTTGGCAGGATGGGAAGGAAATATCACACATGACTTCAAGTTTCTGTCTGGGATGACTGAGGGAATGGTGGTGTCACTCATCAGAAGGCCTTTCTCACCAGATGATTCTCGGTGATTCTCCTTGGCTTCTCCTCCCTCCCCTTTTGCTCTGCTGAAACCACTGGAGGTGACATCTGGTAATACGGAAGGAGGGGAGTCCGAGAAGGATGACTGTGTGGGGCAGGATGGGGAGAGCCCAGCGGTGGCGCTTGGAGAACAATCAGGGACTCGGGATTAAGTGGAGAAGGACGGGCCATGGAAAGGACCAAGTAGGGAGGGTCATGCTGTGAGGAGGCTAAGCAGAGACCGGGCCATTGAAATTCTAATGATTCTGAGCGATAAAGTGATGCTAAGTCAGGAAAAGGATTCTTGATTTCCCGGTCAACTAACAAACAGCTGAATC